TCTATTGATGAATATTTATGTTATCTATGTACATTTTTTTTGGGGTCCGGTCGTGGGGTCTGAACTCTGGGCCTGGGTGCTGTCCCTTAGCTCTTCAGCTCAAGGCTAGCAGTCTACCACTTGAGCCACAGCGCCACTTCTGGGTTTTTTCTTTTGCTTATGTGGTGCTGAGGAATCGAACCCAGGGCCTCAGGCATGCAAGGCAAGCGCTCTACCACTGAGCCACCTTCCCAGCCCCAATGTACATTTTTATTCTAGTTACGCAGTGCCATCGGAACTGAGGCATCTTCATTTATCTTCTCGTAGCCATGCAAAGATTTCCCTAGGACAGATCCTTAGACTCTCAAACGAGCATGGCAAACATGTTAATGCTTGATTTCAAAAGTAAGACTTAAACTTGCTATGTTTTAGTTTGGGGAGTTTGTTTTTCTCCATGTTATGAGTAGGCACTTTCATTATTTCCTCTACAGGATGCAGAAAGAGAATTAAAAATATAAACACCACATGGCTCTTGAGCCACAGGGCAGAAACAAAGAGCAGGTGGAAGGAAACCACAAGCAGAATGGGCTGGCAGTATCTCTGTTGTCTCCTGACAACTTCCTGCAAGTTCACATAGAATTCGTAGGCTGGATGTCAGCCTTGTGAACATGTTTTTACTTCCGAACAAAAGGCTAAAGTGAATGCCTTAGGAAGGACAAGTAATTACCAGGTCAAAAATTTAATATCAATCTTAAATCAAATTCTAAGCAAGGAGGTTAGTGCTGTACTACTTGAGCCACAGCTCCACTTCTGGCTTTTTGATGGTTAATTGGAGATACAAGTCTCATAGACTTTCCTGCCCAGAACGTTTCTGGCTGACTTTGACTTCTGTCCTTAGATCTCAGCCTTCTGAGTAGCTAGGATTACAGGTGCAGCTACCATGCCTGGCTTGCTTGTTTGCTTCTTCTTTCCCTCCCTCCTTCCCTCCCTCCCTCCCTCCCTCCTTCCCTTCCTTCTTTCTTTCTTGCCTTCCTGCCTGCCTGTTTTTCTGCCTGTCTGCCTTCTTTCCTCCTCCTCCTCCTCCTCCTCCTCTTCCTCCTTTTCCTCTTCCTCTTCCTCCTTCTTTTTTTGGTGTGTGCCTATTCTAGGATTTGAACTTGGGGCCTAGGCATTGTCCCTGAGCTTTTCCCACTCAGGCTAGCTCTCTACCACTTGATCTACAATTTCACTTCTGTCTTTTTGCTGGTTAATTGAAGATAAGATTATTAGGGACTTTCCTGTCTGGTCTGGACCACCATCTTCAGATCTCAGTCTCCTGAGTAGCTAGGATTACAGGTATAAGCCACCTGCTTGCAGCTAATTTTTATTATGTTTAAGTTGTTACCATTTAACAAATCAGTTTATAAGTACAATGCATCATGATTAATGTCACCCCTCTATGGCCTGTTTTAAGTTGGTTTTTGAGTTCTAAATGTATTTTTAAGTTGGTTTTTGAAATCTATACATTATTGTCAATCTTTTAAAAGGATTTATCTAAGCTGTTTTATTTGGGAGGATCTTTTAAATAACAGTTAAACTCCTTTAATTTTTTTTTGAGGGGGGTTCTGGTTGTGGGGCCTGAACTCTGGGCCTGGGCACTGTGCCTCAGCTCTTCAGCTCAAGGCTAGCACTCTACCACTTGAGCCACAACACCACTTCCGGCTTTTTTTTTCTTCTGCTTAGGTGGTGCTGAGGAATCAAACCCAGGGCCTCATGCATGCAAGGCAAGCGCTCTACCACTGAGCCACCTTCCCAACCCTCCTTTAATTTTTTGAAACAATATGGAAGACCTGGCTTTTAAATATAGAAGTTTTACTTGTTACAGTATTGTCATTAGTAGTATGTGATGGTGTTAGTTTCACTCTTAGGCTATTTTTCTTTTTAATATTTTATTAGATGAAATCTTTTAGGAACCTTTAGTTCTATTTTATTACATTTGCGTTTTGGAAGAAAAACTAGTTGTGATGGCTAGTCTTGATTTTTAACTTGATTGGATTAAGAAAAACCTAGAAAATGATTCAACTAATCTAGGCATTTCTTAATCTGATCAAAGATTTTTGTCTATTTTCTTCGAAGAGTTTTGTATTGTTTAGCTCTTACATTGGTGCACCTGATCCAAGCTTGAGTTAAATTTTACATAGTATGTGAGGCAGAAGTCTAGCGTCTTTCTTTTTTCTTTTCTTTTCTTTTTTTGGGTCAGTTGTGGTGCTTGAACTCAGGATTTGTGTTCTGTCCCTGAGCGTTTTTACTCAAGGGTAGCTTTGAACCATGATTCTCAGATCTCAGCCTTCTGAGTACCTAGGATTACAGGCATGAGCCACCGGCACCAGCTTAGCTTCATCCTTTGGCAGATACAGTTGTGGCAGCACTATTTGTTGAGAAAGCTATTTTTCTTCTGTTGAATTATTTGAGCCCCTCTCCCTGACTTTTTTTCCCCCCAGTACTAGGGGTTGGTTCCAAGGCCAGTTTGTTGGGTCTCTTCATTTTGAAAGGCCATTGAATTTTGTTAAATGCTTTTCCCATGGCTGTTGAGATGTTCATGTGGCTTTTGATTTTCCTTCCATGAATACCACATATTGCATTAGTGGAACTTCAGATGCTATTCATTTTTGCCTTTTCATTCAACTTCCTATCCTGTGTTCTTTGGCAAAGGACCCTTGAAGAGCCCATTAAATGATGTTTGTGGTGGACATAATGTGGGCCTTAGATGTTTGTGAAATGTTTGACTTCCAGAGCTTTCTAGCTCATTGAAAGTGCTATGGTACATAATAACTTATACAGACACCTAGCATTCACACACAGTGAGACTGAAGGAGGATACTCTTAGGAGAGGACCAGAAACGCACAATGCCTATGTGCATCTGATTATACAAAATAATATTTATCAAAATGAACTCCAGGAAGTGGAAACAAGGTTTATTTCTTTCCTGCTGTGCTTGTTTTCTTTTTTGTTCTATTTGTTCATTTATATGTATTTGGAAGTGTAAGAGGAGGCAAATGGAGGGACAAAAGGTAAACAAATGCAGCAATGGTACTCATTGGACACTATGGTGAAAATGAACTATACAACTTGTTGGTGGGGATGTGAGAGAAAAGCTGTGAGCGCGCAAGGGGTGACATTGTCCAAAAAGACATGTACTCTTCACCTGGCTTATGTCACTGTGCCCCCTCTGTGCATCACCATTATAACAATAATTTTTTTTTGGTCAGTCATGGGGCTTGAACTCTGGGCCTCGGCACTGTCCCTCAGCTCTTTAGCTAAAGGCAAGTACTCTACCACTTGAGCCACAGTGCCACTTACAATTTTCTGGTGGTTAATTGGAGATACAAGTCTCACAGACTTTCCTGCCTAGGCTGGCGTGGAACTGTGATCCTCAGATCTCAGCCTCCTGAGTTGCCAGGATTACAGGTGTGAGCCACCGGCGCCCAGTTTAACAATAATTTTTCTTTTAAAAGAAAGTGCTTGAGTGTTTATCATCTAGGATTTTTTTTGCTCACTATTATTGAATGGTAGGAAAGTAAAACAAACTTTAAAGTGTGCTGTGTAACCCAACAAATTTACAACATTATTTTGGTAATATGTATGAAACTGTTTCATGCGTAGGCACAATTTTTGGAGGCAGAGGTGTTTTTTTTTAAACTGTATTATTTATATGCTTTTTAAGGGTGATGAACATTTTGTGCAGAACAAAGTGTGTAGCAAGTATTTTTGGAATTGTAATCATTATCAATATGTTTTGTCTCTGGAAATTTGCATAGGTCCCTGATTTCTTCCTTCAACATAACATGATTTGTTTCATAATATAGATTTCCATCATGTCCTTATTTCATACTGTATGTTCACATTAATTCAAGTTTCCTTCTCTGGACACATTTTTCTTTTCCATTTGGCTTCCTTCACTCTGTTCTGTTGTCATTTTCATTGATGATATCTCTGTTAATTAATGTTTCGCTTTCCAATGCCTGCCCTTTTTGTTCATGATTTTGCAGTTCAGCCATTTTTTAAAATTTCAGCTCTAATTATTGGTATTTCTTTTTGAGTTCCAATTGGTCTGTGACCTTCTGTGGCTGATTTGTAATCTTTATAATTTTATGAAGTTGACAGTCCATCTTCTTCCCATTGGTAATAATTAAATATGTGTTTCTTTAAAATGGTTTGGAAAAGTTGGTATATGCCCTAGCTTTCCAAATTTCCAGCAAGGTCTTGGATTTTTAGAACATGTCACACACATACACATATGTTTAGAACATGTCACACACATACACATATGTGAAATTTTGGTTAGTCTTCATTATGGCATGCATCATCTTAATTGTGCAGTTGTGTGGCATAAGATCTGAAACTATCAATTTGTGTGTGTGTGTGTGTGTGTGTGTGTGTGTGTGTGTGTGTGAGTGTGTATGTATTGGGGCTTGAACTCAGGGCCTGGGCACTGTCCCTTAGTTTTTTTGCTTAGAATTGGGACTTGACTATTTCAGCCATCCCTTCACTTCCGGCTTTATACTGGTCAATTGGAGGTAAGAGTCTTGAGGATTTGTTTGCATGGGCTGGCTTCAAACTGCAGTCCTCAGATCTCAGCACCCTGAGTAGTTAGGATTACAGACATGAGCCACCAGTGCCCAGCCTACAACTATAAAAAATTTAAGGGAGAAACAATATTAATTTCCTAATCCTTCAGCTTTTCCTCTTTGTCCCTTACTAAATCTCTTCTTTGCTGTTGACATCTTTCTCCCCAGCCCTCCCTACCCCAGTCCTGGGGCTTGAAATTCTGGGGCTGTGGGAGCTGTCCTTGGGTTCCTTTTGCTCAAGGCTAGCACTCTACCACTTGAGCCACAGCACTACTTCTGTGATAATTGGAGATAAGAATCTCATGGACTTTCCTGCCCAAGCTGGCAGATCCTCAGATCTCAGCCTCCCCAGTAGCTGAGATTACAGGCATGAGCCACTGGCACCTGGCTAACCTCTTTTTTGTTTGTTTTAGATTCTGAAGATTTCTTGGCAGAAGGTTTGCGAAATGAGAACCTCAGTGCTGGTGCAAGGGACAGCAGGGATCACATTCTGCGAGGCTTTCAGCAGATCAAAGCGAGGTTTGTGTAAACTGGTTCCTCTGTGCTTCTTCATAAACTTTAAAACAACTTGTAATCGGTATGTTAGTAGTATGAATTAACACAGTAGGACACACCTGCCATAGCTTTCATACTTACAGGTAGACAAGCTTAGTATAATTCACCAATTTTTTTTCTTTTCTTTTCTTTTTTGGTGGTACTGGGTTTTGAACTCAGAACCTTGCCTTTACTAGGCAGGTGCTATATTAATTGAGCCACACCTCTGGCCTTTTTTCCTTTATGTTTTTGAATAGGTGTTGATTTATGTTTAGGATAACCTGGACCACAGCCCACCTACTTACGCTTCCCTTGTAGCTGAGATGTCAGACCATCACAGCCAGCTTTTATTGGTTGAGATGGGTTATCTGTGAACTTCTTGCCCTGGCTGGCCTTGAACTGCAATCTTCCTGATCTTTGCCTCTTGAGGAGTTAGGATTGTGTGCATGAGCGACCATGCCCAGCTAAAGTATTTTCATAATTATGTGTCTTAAGATTTTGTGTTTAGGTTTGGCACTTTACACTGGCCTTTATTGAACACTTTTGCATTTAAGAACAAAATAGTGAAAATGAACTTTTTGGGGGCCAAATTTAGTAACAAGTAGGTATCAAGCAGTATCAGGTCATTTTCATTGTGTATTGGGTACTCACTTTGCTTTCACAGTGCCTTTTCTAATGAAAACTTAAACCACATGTATTCAGTTGCCTTTTGGAATGTTTTAATTCTAGTCTGTGTTGGAATATCACTAAGAAAGATTCAAGCCAGGTGCCAGTGGCTTATGCCTGTCATCCTAGAAGGCTGAGTCCTGATGATTGAAGTTTGAAGCTAGCCTGGGAAGAAAAGTCCATAAGGCTCTTATCTGCAATGAGCCACCGAAACACTGGTAGTGGAGTTGTGGCTCACATGGTAGAGTATCAGTCTTGAGTGAAAAAGTTAAGGGAGAGCATGAGGCCCCAAGTTCAGGCCCCAAGTTCAAGCTCCAATATTGGCACCACACACACACACACACACACACACACACACACACACACACACACACGCGCACACACAGAGTCACATTTTAGAATATGAATATCTCATAGATGCGTAAACTTGCTTGGAGGTGAGAGGAGAATTCAAATCTCCCTTTATACTAGGTTTTTTTGTTTTTTTTTTTTTTTTTGAACACTTCTTGTTTGAAATGTGGGCGGTGAAGGAGAGCTGGGGATAAGTGAATGTTACTTTTGCCTTTTTCAAACTCACGATCCTGTGATTCTGGCTATTGGAACTGAGCAGGGTTAGGCCTGGGGTTTCATTTGCATAGCTGATGGTTCTTAGCATCTTAGAAGCAGGAGCTTGCCCATCGGAAGAGCACAACCAGAAGCTCTTACCCCCAGGAATGTGAGAACCTCACAAGATGCTCGAATGGATCTTACTCTTTCCTGCTGGCTAATTAAGCATCCATTTATTTATTTGTTTGTTTGTTTATTTTTGTCGGTCATGGGGCCACGGAGCCACTTCCCAGCCCCCAGCATCCTTTTTACTCACCAATTGAGGCCTGTATAGTTAGCAGCCTAGCTTGGCCTGAATAATTGAAACAAAATGCACAAGATGGGCTGGGAAGGTGGCTCAGTGGTAGAGTGCTTGCCTTACATGCATGAAGCCCTGGGTTTGATTCCTCAGTACCACATAAACAGAAAAAGCTGCAAGTGGTGCTGTGGCTCAAGTGGTAGAGCACTAGCCTTGAGGTGAAGAGCTGAGGGAGAGCTCCCAGGCCCAGAATTCAAGCCCTACAACTGACCAAAAAAAAAAAAAAAATCCACAAGATAAGAGATTGGTAAAAATGGAAATGCCCATGGTTTTTGGTTGACTGGAAGCGTATTGAAAAGTATATTGTAATAATACCATGCTACACTGTATAATGTTCCTTCTCTAGCAGATGTGTTTAATCTGTAGAAATTGTAATTTTCACAGGTCTGCCTTTGTATTTTTATAGTACTATAAAGGTAGCATGAGAAAAAAGGGTGGAATTCTTTTCAATTGTTTTTCCAGAAGAGGGAAGCCTGAATACCATGGTACATGTGTTGTTGCTGTTGATAAAAAGCTGTGATGAGAAATGTAAATACAATTCGACTATAGTCATATGTATATACAAAGATACATATTAATTTATGGTATTTTCCATATTTTTACCATGGCCCTGGGACAGGCCTAGATTTCAACATTAAATGGGTAATATCAGGCAAATTTGTGGCCACTCATTCTCACCAGTTCCCCACTACTTCTTAGTGCTCTTTTCCAGGGGGAAGGGAATGCTGTCTCTGAGGGTTTTTGGCTCAAAGATCCTGCAGTACCACTTGAGCCTCAGGTCCACTTTCAGCTTTTAGGTTGTTAATTGGCGATAAGAGTCTCATGGACTTTCCTGCCTGAGCTGGCGCTAAACCTGGTTCCTCAGATCTCAACCTCCTAAGTACCTAGGATTACAGGCATGAACTACTGGCATCTGGCTCCAATGCTTTTTTGTGCACATGCACACACACGCACGCACACACACACAGAGGGCTGTATTTCTCAAGGAGCAGAGAAGTTTCCTTTTTCTATGTGGTTTGTGGGGTGGATACTCAGGAAATGACCAGCATGTGTTTAAGGAACATCTGCATTGTGGACAGGAGCTTTCTGTTCATTGATTTGTCACAAGAAAGACGACACTTTATTTATCTCTGCATGATCATTAGACCACCGAGGAAATGAGGAGCCAGGATTCTGAAACTGTGCAAGAAAAATAGAAGAAGGAAGCTTGCCTTTGGCAAGGTGTTTGAGATTGCCTTACTTCCACCCTGTAGTCATTATCCTGTTAATGTTACCCCACTTGACAGAATCCTCTCCCTTACCCTCGGTCATCTCTCGAGTCCCACTTATGTCTGTTCAATGTTATGCACTTACAAGTATTGACACAAAGTGGTTTCAGAGTACTGAAAGCTTGCATTTACCTTTTCATTTACTTACGTGGCATGGGATCGATTTTCAGAGCCAGCCTGGGCAAGCAAATCTAGGAAGCCCTGCTCTCCAGTTCACTAGCAAAAGCTCAGAAGTAGAGGTGGTAAGAGTTCCAACTGTGAGTGGGAAATACGAAGCAAGAGTATGAGGCCTTGAGTTCAAATCCCCATATTGGCACATACACAAGAAAACCCACAAAAATTTTTGTGAATTGATCATATGTGAATAATGGCTGAAGAACAGGAAAAGAATGATTGAAAGTCATTTCAAGTTTTACCTTTACTCATATTAAAGCAATAATTCCTTAGCAATTTGGTAAAGGGTGTGTGTGTGTGTTTGTGTGTGTGTGTGCGTGCGTGTGCGCACGCGCGCGCGCGCGCGTGTGTGTGTGTGTGTGTGTGTTTGTAGGGACATGTCTAAAATTATATTTTGCTACTACAGGGGGAAGAAATAGAAGAAATTTCTAGTAGGACAATCTGTGAAAGTCCACTAGATAAACATAAATACTACAGATATTTACAGCTTCCCACTCGATTGTTTTCTTGCTTCTTTCTTCAACATTGCAATGCTGGAGAATGAAAGGTGAGAAGAGTAAATTAGCAAGGGCCTCTGGTTCAGGGTAAACTCTAAGGATTTGACCCTATTTGTTTCTGGCTGGTATTTGCCACCGTTGTGGCAAATTGAAGCAAGGCAAATTTTGGCAAACTGAAGCATGTGACTCAGTTGCCATGGTTTGAAAGTGCCTTCACCAGCCTTTCAATTGTCTAGAGTGACTGACCCAAAGAAGCTATAGTTGTATCAAGAGTCATAGACGACCCCCCAAGCCCTCATCTGTTTTCCAGCTCTAATAGCAAAGCAATTCTCTGTCTTAAAAAAATAATAGTATCACCTCTTCATCTTTAGCTATATATTTTTTTGGATTGAAAGTATTACTTAGGCAGTCTTCCTTCCATATAAGACAAAACCAAAATGGATGGCAGGCTTTGTGCTTTGGAGAAAGTGAAGCTCTGTGGTGGTATTTCATGTCCTGAGCTGTGATTTTCATTGCTATTCCTTGAACTGCTTGTCAGAGAGACATTCTCCCTGAAAAGTAGCAGCTTGCTTCTTTCTTTCTTTCTTTCTTTCTTTCTTTCTTTCTTTCTTTCTTTCTTTCTTTCTTTCTTTCTTTCTTTCTTCCTTCCTTCCTTTCTCTCTCTCTCTCTCTCTCTCTTTCTTTCTTTTCTTTCCTTCCTTCCTTCCTTTTTTTCCTTTTTTTGGGTGTCAGTCCTAGGGCTTGAACTCTGGGCCTGGGAGCTGTCCCTGAGCTTCTTTTGCTCAAGGCTAGCACCCTACCACCTGAGCCACAGCTCCACTTCTGGCATGTATGTATGTATGTATTTATTTATTTGCTTGCAGTTTATTGGCATAAGAGTCTCATAGACTTCCCTGCCCTAGCTGGCTTCTAACTATGATCCTCAGATCTCAGCCTCTTGAGCAGCTAGGATTACAGGCATGAGCCACTAGCCCCTGGTTCTTTCTTCCTTCCTTTGTTCCTTCGTTCCTTCGTTCCTTCCTTCGTTCCTTTCTTCCTTCCTTCCTTCCTTCCTTTCTTTCTTTGCTATTTTGAGGGACAGTATCACTACAAAACCAAGGCTGGCCTGGAACTTGCTATCTCCTGCTTGAGTATTGGGATTACAAGTGTGTACTGCCATACCTGGTTAATTCTAGGGTTTTATTGAGTACTTTTGGAGAAGGCTTAGGTTCAGGATGAAAGTTTGTCTGTGTGATTATAGTCACTGCAGGATTATCTCCAGATGTGCAGCACCTGGAATGAAACACACATGAAATACACTCTGAAACGCGATGACATCCTTACACTTTTGGAGAAACAGTGGAGCATTTCTTAAATGTTTTACTCCAGTGGAGGTCACTTGACAATGATAATATATTGAGAGTGGGATGAAGGAAGCAATATTTTTATTACTGAGGTAGGGGTCAGTTCTTTTCTGATGTCCTCCTACCTTTTTTT